AATATTTCTCATACCCCCCTCCTCTGTCCCAGAGGTTCCCTTAATAGGCTGATGGTTCACGTGCGCGCATGCTTTATCGAGTATCTGCTTGCATATGCCAACATGCACTCACCAGTTACTTATATACCTCATATATAATATTAGCATAACTGCCATTTTTACGTTCTTACATTTCTTAAAAAAAAACTTTGCTTAAAAAAATTAACTAGTACTCAGACTTACAATAGTAGCAATACTTACGGCACTAGTTTTATTTATATTATTAACTCTACATAATATGCTAAGAGTAGCATTAATTACCGTAAATCCTCTATTAAGCCCCCCTCTCTAATAAGTTAACCCCCCTCTGATAAGCACCCCCTCTTTAGAGAAAGAACTTTATTTAGCCCCCTCTATCAAGCCCCCCACCCCTCCCATTAATAAACAGAAATTCACAATAACAGTCCATGTGAGTATGTACGATAAATTTATTCAAGTACTATAATTCTAGTTTGTAATTTAAACTTGATTATGGTGACTGACTGATTGATGATATCATGTCGGCATCAATAGAATACCGTATTTGGATTTATAATTTGGTAAATGAAAAAATGTAAAATGAGAACAATTTTTTAATAAATACGTTCGAACTATACAAACGCTTGGTTCTCTGTGGCAGAATCAACGGTGTCTAAGTCAAGCATCTTACCTCTCCGTATCAAATTTCATTCATCAAAGCTAACCGTCCAATCCCATCCTTCCCTTTCCAAAAGAAATTAAAACATTCTTTGTTGGCTACCTGTACGAGATTATTGGAAACATGATTAAGAGAGGCCTTGGCCGAGAAAACCTCAGGAATGGGAAATGATTTGACATTTTGTATTCTCTCCAAATATTTAATTTTTTTGATAGAATCAAAGCAAAACAATGAAAAGTGTTTTCATCTACCTTCGAAGTTAAAAAAGTTTCTATAAGCTTTTATTTTGTGCCAAAACCAATGCAAGTTCTTTCGATGTTTTTAATTTCAAACATCATAAATGTCTACTTTTATTTTTCTCTTCGATCTTCTTCTTTGGTAAAGTGCGCAAATGGCACAATTGCCTGGTGACGGGTTACATTCATGCAGTAAGTCCGAGATTCTCTCGTGTATAACTTTGGATCCTTTTTGAGTTTCCTAAGTAAGCTATGATTTGCGAATCGCTCAGGGACAGCTCTGTATATATCTTTAATGAATGCTTTCCAGGCTGCCTGCGTTCCAGCAAGAGACCTCGGATATGGACGATGTAGAGGATTCTGGACTGTCACAGGAAAAAACAACAGCGCTTGCCCACGAAACTTTAACTCCACTACTGAACAAAGATATTTATCAGTGAACCACCAGTTAACTTGTTCATACCGTGTATCCAGTGGAAATATGTGCACGACTGCTTTTGCATGAAAGGCATTGAAAACAGGATCGAAGACTATGATCGGACTTGCAACGGAGGTGTTGTCTACAAAGGATTTGTTACAAATCTTCCGATTCAATTGAATTAAGGAATTTGCTGGATTGTTGCCGTAGTCCACTACACCAACTGCAGGCTCGTAATCCAGAAGCCAGTTTTGGAAAGCTTGAATTGGACTGAGTTGTGTCATTGCTGGAGTTGCTTTTCTGTTGAACGTTAGAGAAATGTCATCGTCAAGAAATATATATTACATGTAATGGGTGATTTTCTCTAAAGCGTGGAAGAATAGCCTGTTACGGCCAGATCCCCAAGTGGTTGCGTTGTCAAACAAGTAGGTAAAGTGAGCCGGGCGATCTTTGTGGCACTCTGCTTTGTAACTTAACACAACAACGTCACAGCGACATTTTGAACGGTTGCCTAAATCCAGATTTAGTATGAGACTCGTTCGAAGACAACTCTCGGTTTGCGTAAGATACACAAATAATTCTTGTGTCGCGTTCTCTTTCCTCAGGCTTTTGGCAGCGTGAAATTTCCACGCGGTAAAGATTAAAGTAGCCACCACGACGGTAGAATAAATGAGTAAACACTTCCATAGCGCTTTGATCTTGTTTAAATGTACCATGTCTGACTTTTCTGGCCGAATATTAAGTGCCGACAGTACAAGCAGAATCGTGCAAAAAATTGGTAAATGTGAGAGTGAGCCGTTATGGTTACACAGACTGACTGAGAAAACTTTGTTTATTTTCTTTTTGATTTTTCCCCTTGTATATTCATGAATCTGAACGAAAATGAAATTACCCTGACACATTCATTAACAGGACATTAAAGGTTGACAAGTACCGTGTCGGTAAAAACAAAACTTACTTTGAACTGATGCTTAATTATAAAACTTAATTAATTTCATTCACACCATTCTTCAAAAACATTTTCAAGAAAATGATGGAGGCACAATTTTCAAGAATTTTCAAGTTGGATCAATAAATGGATAACATTTTCAAAAAACAAGGAAGATCCGTTTGAATAACCTTACTGAAATAGTTTTCTTATTTGGTGAAGAAGCGTTTACAAAGTAAATTTATTTTAATAGGAGTAAAGAGGACAAAAAAAAAGCCGTTGTGTTATGCCACGTTTTTTAATATGGTTTTAGATAGTCGTATCTCCCAGAAACGCGCAAGCCGGCAGTCTGAGTTTAGACCTGCAGTAATAATGAAAATCATAACAATTAATAAAATTATGGAGAGGATCTTATTACAATTTTTCAAATCTCCAAGGTATTATGTGTTACGTGCACGAATGACCAACAAATGTCCGCTAACAAAGCAAATATGAAAATAGACTCCCGAGTACGATATATGGCACGAAACAAAAATGTAACAACAAGCAGTTACCCATTTTAACTATTATTTAATTAGTTTTACATTGTCTAATTTACTTAGGTTAAAGATTAAGCTAAGCAGTTCATAAAGCAGGCTTACAATCCTTCATGCTGTGTAAGTGTTCGTCGTCTTGCTCAACTTCCAATTCCAACATCCTCCGACTGAAGACTACAGCGCTTGGCTTTCTTGATTCATGACTTTCTTTCCGTGTACACAGATTCTTCCGGAGGACTTCATAGCGAACTCTGTATTCTTTATCTTCTTCCCCTCTCGGCTATCGTCTTTTTCATCTCTTTCTTCTCTCCGGATATCGCAAGGTCAAAAGGTCGTAGCCTTGTCATATCATAGCTTCCAAAAGTTCAGTCAGCAAGCCAAGAGGGTAAGCCCTCGGGCAAATCTCCTTGGTACTTCTCACAAGCCAGCTTTTATACATTTACTTTAGTTATCTAGAATATTCTATTACTATTTATAGCGTATTGTAAGTTGTACTATTTTTGGAAACTGCTGAGTCACATGAAAGAAGTTTCTGGAATATTACAGATTATAGATAATTCTAGAAAAGTCTGGGATTGCGTGACAGATTCAGTAAAATAATTCGATCCTCGTAACACATGAGTCTAAAGATTTCTTTTTAATCGAATACCTTTAAGATCTGAGACTTAGAATTACCTTAAAACTAATGAACGATTAAGTAATGAGTACTAGACATTTCAAGCCCTTGATGAAGAGTCGCGACGGGGTTTAACCGTCGGCGGTCAAATTAAATGACCTAAAATTTCACCATCAACCGTCACAATCGAAAAAAAAATTAATCGTCATCCGTCTAAATTACCCATCCATCAACACCGTTATGTTAAAATTCGTCAGAACGAATGGATGAAAGAAGGGCTAACGCTCGAAACGTCAGCTTTTTAACTCTTCATAATTTCAACTTAGTTGATATAACCAAATTACCTTGTTACCCCCTCTGATGCAGCACCAAAGTTTCTTTGGAAGCTTACTCCCTTTATTCATTTGACTTACTTATGATCTATTGCATGGAGGACGACCCATAGATGACGTAACCGTTAACAACGTTTTGATTTTTGATCATATAAATCAACTAGATTCGGACGGCAACTTGGAATCTATTTGTAAACGGATGGTATTGTTTGTGTAAAATTATCATTCGAAATAAATGGAGGGACAGAAGCATTACTAAGTCGAGGAAAAGCAATGATAGAAGAGATTGAAACCGGTCAGTGTAAAAGGAAGACTACGGACTGCAGACTGTGGACTGCAGACTGCGGACTGCAGACTGGGGGTAAATTGCAGACTGAGGGTAAAATGCAGACTGCGGACTGCAGACCAGGGGTAAAATGCAGACTGCAGACTGCAGACCAGGGTTAAAATGCAGACTGGGGGTAAAATAAAATATTAATAATAAAAAACAAGACTTGGGAGTGTCCCTACCCGTACCCGTAATTTTTTTTTTCAAAATCCCGAAAACTCGAGCCAAAAGGCGTTTATTCGCCTTAGTCAAACATATTATCAACCTCGAGTTCTTGACCTCCCCATTTTGTTGAACCAAGTTTCCCAAAAGCGCCCAAACTGATCGTAATGATACCTTTGCTTACATCTCGGCCATTTTGAATTGTGCTTTGGCGAATAGGTCTGGGACCGAGTAACTCTTTCAGTGTTCAAATTCTTCATATGGCCTTGGAATTGTTTGGAAGACAAGGCAAGCAAAACACGACAGCATAACAACAAGGCAAGGTAAACTTGTAGGTATCGAGCATAGTTTATGAAAGACATTAACGCAAATTATCGAAAATTACCATGAGCTCGTCGTCCTCGTTTTCCGACATTTTTTAGTGCCATGTGACTTGGGGACGACGTGACTTTTATACTGCGTGAAGCGGCCTTTGTGTATTTCGTGAGTCTTGACGTGACATTATTTTATGGGTACGAACACTCTTTGTTTCATCCTCAAGACTCGTTTTTTTATTATTGACATTTCACCTTCAGTCTGCATTTTACCCCTGGTCTGCAGTCTGCAGTCTGCATTTTACCCCCGGTCTGCAGTCCGTAATCTCCGTTTTACACTGACCGGATTGAAATAGATTGCAGATGGATTGCAGATGAGAATATCAGTTTCCACGTGCGCCTGCTCCTGGCCAGCGGAAGAAGCTTTGTTCCCAGTCTCCGAGAAGACGCACTTTCAAAATGGCGGTTGTTGTTGGCACTTGGCCGTTTAGCTTAGAAGCAGTAAAATTGACCTCCAAAAAGCTACAAGAGGGGAAGGGATGTATTGATGCACTGGAAAGCGGAATAAATTGTAATGTTTTAGCAGATTTTTTTTGCAAGTTCTTTGTCATGCAGCAGAAAATACCAATTATTTTAACGTGGTAATCTTGTTACTTTAATGACAACTGGTAGCGCTCGCTAATTAATAAATTGTTCTCTCCTTTCCAGTGATTGAAGACGATCCTGACACAGGTCTCTATTTTGTTGGGAGAGGAGGGTTACCTAACTCTAAGGGTATTTTAGAGTGTGATGCGGCAGTCATGGATGGAAATACGTGTCGTTTTGGAGCAGTTGCTGCTTTGCAAGGGTATTTTGCATCTATCACGGTTTTGTCCAGGATTGAGGAAAGTTGAGGAGTGGGCGGGG